AGGTATATATTGCATTACCTGACAGTCGTCCAAGGGCCGAGTAAAATAAATGCAGTAAAAAATAAATATAAACGGAAATTTTATTTAGTCGAAAGACAGCGACGACAGTTGTCGTTGAAATGCAATATATTATAATATTGTGTATATTATGTGATTCAAAAAGAAAACCTAGCAAAGACGTTTTTATCCGAATACCTACACGCTAAAGAAAAACACACATTGCTGTGATTAGTGAAAGGCGTGATACGTATAAGCCAAATGTTTAGACAAGGACAGGAAATTACATTTGCTGAAATTACAAAAAAAAAGGGCATTGTTAAAATTTGCATGTATACGTCATGAGTGTATAAGGTAGGCATACTTAATCGTTTTTCGTGATTATGTGTAGGTACTGCGTCACTATTTATATTTATGGGTACCTGACATTTTAAATTTTGTGCACAGCTATCAATGTACCTAATATGTATAATACCTATATTAAATAATTTAATAGATACATAATATTATTGTCGATAAATTGTGTGTTTGAATACAATTGTTTTATATTATTTAAAGTTATTAGAACACAACATTTTTAGGGAACATATTATATTATATTAAATATTTTTATTCGTCAAGTCTTTTAAGGTTTACAATTTTTAAGTACAAGGTAGTAATATATTTTTAGTTTCATGTTCCAGAGCTGAAGACATTTCTGATGATTTTAATTTACAAAAATAGTTAATCAATTACAAGCATTTCAATTTTGGATTTGTGGAGCTAGTGGAATGTCATCTCATTTAAGCTGGTACCTCACAATAAGTTGTTATCCACTTCTTCGCTCGTCTAATTCCTAGATTTAAAATAAAAAAAAAAAAAGGTAGAAATTGGTGGAATGTACCTACATGCGCTCTACGTACGATACACATCATAATATTATAATCTTTTGAATAAACTTATTACTGTAGGGATATTACAGAATTTAATATAAGAACCGGCCCACCATTGCCTGTCATTTACGCAGGGCAGGTAAACGGCTGCTGGGTAAAAACACGAATTATAATTGCAAAGTATATTATTATATTATTTTTCACTATATATGTATTACGATTTTAGGTGAATGCGATTTGAGACTTCGATTCGAAGACGAATAATATTATATTCTCGTCTAGACAGCACTCACGAGTACGAGTAGATACAATACGAGTTTATTGTTCGCATCACATTTCCAAAATACTCAAGAACGATAAATGACGTTGTCACTTATACCGCAATAGGTTAGGTAAGTATTCGATCATTTCGGTATTTGACGGTATCTCTATATATTATGCTCGTTGACGCCAAGACTAGACGGATATTTTAATTACAATAACACTTTTTTGGGATTTCTAACTACCCACCACCCTAACATCTGATAATCATTACAACGTTTGACATCCGATCCGTCGTAATCGTGAGGTAATAACGAATGCTTTAATAACGTAATATCACAGTATTAAATTTATTATAAAAATATTGCATTTATTACATTATTAATAATTAGAGTGTGGATCTTTATGCACTAAAAAATATCAAAATAATAAAATATGTCATATAACAATAATATTATGCTGTCAAAGTCACAAATGAATGAAAGAAAAACAATGTGGAATTTTGTAATATTATGGTAAAAATATGATTAAATTGATTTTATATTTATTGAAATATCATTTTCCGAGGTTATTTGTTTTAATTTTCTTTAGGAATTGTTCTTTTGTGTTAAATAGGTAATCAATATCTTGTATATTTTAATTACAAAATTATTACACAATTTTTGTAAGAAACAGGGTAGTATTTTCTTACAATTTATTTATTTAAAAAATTACTCATCAAAAGACAAACAGTAGGTACAGCATCAATTCATACAACTCTTACTTGCTACCATAATATTATATTATTATAGAGAGCAGCACCTGAAGGACTAGAACAGTGTTAGTGCAAGAGTTCCGGGACTTATCGATCGGTCAAAGTTGTCGCCGCCCCCCTGACAGCACTCTCTACCACACGACAACGATAAAGAAATTGTTATTAATAAGTAACATGATACACGGCTCACTTGTTACCTCGATGGGTACCCACAGATAAGTATATCGCACAAGAGCGGGGGGGGCACTTGTTATCGCCACCATGGTATATTGTAATCGGGTGAACACTTGTACTGTTTTACAAAACTCGTAAGTTTTGTCGTCGTCCGTAGTGGCCACTTGTTGTCACTAATAATTAAACATAATATTATTATCATGGTTGTGGTTGTTGCCCGTAATATTTATGTTTTGCGAATTCCGTTACCGGGATCGGCCACCTTTTATGTCATCGTTGCCAAGAACGTTAACCGATCTTGGTGTTAATATAGTGCGATATAATATATAATAATATTATGTTGCCAGGAACGAAGTCAGAAGTCTATACTAAATAACTTTGAACGTTTTATTTAAAACTAAAATGTTATAAAATATGGTATAAATATTATAAAAACATACAATTAAAAATATTTATTTATATTATATCTAAATAGGGAGACGGAATGGCAGAGCAGACTAAGCATTGGTTCGAAACTTTGGCAGCGGGCGGCATTTTTCTTCACACCGGCTAATGTATACATTTGTTGGATAATGTATACATTACGCTGTTCTGTGTTCATAAGAATAAGGTTTACTTTACCCATAGACCGTGGTGAATAATATGTAGGAACACTATCAGTTGTTGAACCTTACTTGCAACATATAGTTTACAGGTACCTAACTCGTTCAAACCATGCTTTGTATAATACCATAAAGATGCACATTAGTGCACTAGACTTTTTATTAATATCTGAGTATATTATGTTTCACTCAAACTTGGTACACAATATAATAGTACGATACAGCTATCTGAGGGCATATAACATTAGTAGGAGCCGAAATTATATTCTTTTAAAATAGTCAAAATAAGATGCTAATATTCTCTTAAAAAGTTGAAAATATTCTTCCAATATTCTTTAAAACCCATAGTAAAATATGCAAAAAGAAGCTTTTTTTATTAAAATATCATTAATAACTATTAATTATGTTGTGTTTATTAATTCATACTTATTCTATTGAACTAAAAATATGCATTTATATATAAAATAATTAAGCAAATAATACAAACAGATATAAATAAATACGTAATATGCAAAGTAAGACAAAAACCTGATATAAATACGTACCTACATAATAAAAAATACTACATATTAAGAAAAGTTTGATAAAATTATTAATAATAATATTATTTAATATTCAATTATTTTAAATTTTCAACAACAAAAATTTTTGAAAACAGTTGACAACTAGGTATCTGTTGTCATATTTGTACAACGGTCGGTTAAAATGTTTTTATATATTGTGCTAATTTATATTATTTACTCCACAAAATATCGAACATCTACAAAAATTAATCGATATATTCTCTAATATTCTTTATTACAAGAAATATTCTTTTATCTTGAAATGTTCCCGAATATGCAAAAACAACTTTTGCCATTAACTCACATGTTTTATGATTTGTAAAGATTTCGAACCCCCGTCTCACTGCATAGACTAAAAAAAAATATGCAAAAGAATATAATTCCGGTCCCTAAACATTAGTCTAAAATGTAAAAAAAAAATTCAAAACAGTTTTGAATTTTAGAAGTTCTATTGGCCGATTGATGTCGAAAGAACCATTCTGCTAAATAATATATCGTAATGTCATGAAATGGCCCATCTGTAAGGCACTCTCTCTCTCTGCAACAAGTCACCGTATAACAATAAATTAAAGTGTTGTGCATTGGTTTGTTTGTTTTTCCTTCGACCAAAAACCGAAACTATATTATTATTATAATTATAATCTCGGCTGAGTGACTATTCTGAACAAGTCATAAGTATAACATTATTTTACATGTTCGAGCTTTGTAATATGCGATCGACAATGATATTTTGACGTCTGATTCAACGTGTATTTTATTTAACATGCACACAATGTGTTTAATTCATTTTTAATAGTCAAAATGTAATCGACGAATTAAAATCGGTTTTAATTGCATACATAATCATAATATTACCAATTATTTAAATTATTTCTAGTTAAAAAAACGATTAGAGCTCAAAATAATATTACAATACAAGTAGGTACCTAATATACAAAACATAAATGATAGCTGTCGGTTAAATTGATGTTTCACTGGTTTAGAAGATTCAATGTTTAATGATTCACGTTTACATTAAAATTTTTATCATCTAAATGCTGCAATACATATTATTATAATATTATACATACAATGAAACCATATTGTAAAACTAATAGGTACCTCATTATAATAATAGTATCACTCAGTTCAGAAAATAAAACATGGTAACTATTATAAATCAGTGTATTATAACAGTGACTATAGAGTAGTAACTAGATATTATATAATACTTTATTTTTTATCTTTTATTTAATTATTTAAACTTGTTAAAACTAATTATTACGAATTTCGTCGGAATACGAACGACTGTATGTGTTATCTATTGGACCTTAAGCCCATAAAAAGGTGGTGACCTGATCCACATCACGTGTACTAAACACGATAATGAATTATTTCTTTATCTGATATATACAAATTATTTGTGAATATTTATTGCACAAATTTAAAATATACTTTTTATATTAAATAACCAATTTTACTTATGTTTGCATGATCGTATTTCATAAATCGTTAAACATTTATGACATTAATACTCTGTAGGTAATTATTTTTTACTTGAATAATTTAAAAAATTCTAAACGAAATAATAATGTATACCCACTGCGTCAATTACAGCCGATTCTTGTTAAAAATGGATCATAAATTGCACAATCGGCATCGTACATTAAGTATATTTTAAGTGAACGGTTACCGGGTTACACCGACATTAATTGTTGTCTCCGTCTTACATTTACCGTTTACGGACGTATACAACTGCCGGTCGAGTTTTCGTATTCCGACTATAGTTGGCGCCACCTTACGGTGACGGGGTAACGCGGGCGGCGAGTCCGCGATCGACAACTAGAGCGCCGCACTCGTTATCAGCGGCGTTACAACCACGCAGATTGGATAACTGTGGTGATAGCGCCCCGGCAAAGGTTGAAAGACGAGACGGCGGTGGCGGCCCACCACCACATCGATCGCGGCTCTCGGAGCGCACCACCCCACCTAAAACATACACACCACCGCCGCTGCACGACCATTCCTTCGACATTCTGCCGATACTGGTAACCGGCCGCCGCGCGCCGGTCATCGGGCCGTGCGTGTTATGCTGCCGCCGGTCAACAAGCTTCATAAGTTCTCTCTCATGCCACCACCGCGCCACCGTCGTCAAACGAAAGGTTAATATTGATCGATCCTCCGCCGACCACGCCCAGTGGTACGTTTTCAAACGGCGCGGCGAGAGGACGAACAGTAACAACATTAACAATAATAATAATAATAATAATAATAATATTATTGAAGTCCAACTCGTGGCGGCGGCGGCGGCGGTACACAGAGCGCAGCACATGACGGACAGCATTTTAAAGCAAAAAGTTATATTTTTTCTTTGATGATTTTAATAATACCAGTTAATAGGTCAACTGATGTAACCCTCAAAAATGAAATTTTACAGGAGGCACTAAAATAAAGGCACAATAATTATTACAATACATTTTGTAATCCTTATAACCGCTACAATGTTGAATTTTTTTTTAAAAGATATAAGCTTGGTATACTTATGGATCAGTATTATACTAAGCTAAATAAAATGCAATTTATTGTATATTACTCTAAAGTTGACTAGCCAGTTGGATACATGACATAATATTAATTATTGTGGGTTAATGGTTTTTGTGGTGATGGTTACTTACAATTGACGCTAATTAAAAAAACTGTTCCAAATAGTGTAACCCTCAATTAAATATTTTATTAGATTTTAATTATACAATATTAATAATTATTAAAAACTAAATAATAATAGTTAACTTTTTGACTCAATACAAATTATTTATCACTTTATACTAATTTAAATTTAAAATAATATAAAGACAGTTTAACATTAAAAACAATATTAGGTAATAATATTATTACATAAGTAATTATTAAAAACAAAATAATAATAGTTAACTTTTTGACTCAATACAAATTATTTAACACAATATGCCAGTTAAATTTTAAAATAATATAAAAACAGTTTATTATAAAATGATAAACATTTTTTAATACTCAGTTGGATGAATCTCTAAAATAATATTGTCTTCTTCATTAGTCTCTCCTAAAACATCTTCTACAGTTTCTTTTTTTTTTAATGATTTAAATTCTTTATGATACCTGTTTGGTATAACACCACTACTGCAAAGTTTCAACAAATCATTATACTTTGCCTCTGATATAGGCAGTTTGCTGTTGAACGCTGATTGAAGTTCTAGGGTTTGATAATTATTTTCTTTTGATCTCCTTCGTTGTTTTGGTTGTTTAATTGTGACATGTTTTTTTTGAGAACCTAGAGAATATGAAAACTGCAAGGTTATAGTTGGAGAATTTTTAAAAAATGAAGATATTTTTATTTCACTAGTTTTTATTTTTTGACCATGGCCGGTATTAACTAGTTTTGGAAACATAGCTGTTTGAAGCTGCTTATAATAAATAAAATCTGTATGATTTAAGGAATAAACTTTATAAGGTTTCGGTTTATTTCTGGAGTTATTATTGTTGGAATCTCTGATGGAGCCCAAACAATTTTTTTTTTCAAATTTCACTCTATTGCGGAACGGACAGAGTCAACTGGCATATATGTGTGACCTGGTTGTAAATATGTAATACTTACTTTGTTAGTATTTCTTTTTGCTTTTTTATTCATAAACTAAAAAATTGCAGCAAAAACTACATCATTTTTATTTTTACCTGACAGGAACTTGTGAAATGTCAATAAAACATTATTTGTTTGGTAAAAAAGCTTGAATATGTAATACAAAGCTCCAACTATATTGTTACAATAGCAGTTGAAAAATATTAAAAATAATTAGTCACAATTTTTTTTTTATAAATGTTTAAAGTTCAAATCTTGACAAAATACGGACAAATCACGAAAATTAGAAAATTATTTTGGGTGTAGAATTCATAAAAATTTTTCTTTTTAAATCTAAGACTTGAAAATGTAGTGCGAGATTACTCTTAAGTTTATCTACCTTTGTCAAAAACAATATGTATACAAGCAAATCAAATTAAATTTTTATGAGTGTTTGAAGTAAAATTATTTTACAATATTTGATTTTTCATGTAGCTATTTTGTAATTTTATTGTTATTCAAAAAATAACTGTAGATACATAACAATTTTACTGAATGTTTATATTTTCATTTTCTATACACCATAAAAATTTAAAAATGTTTTGACTCTTTTTGAGCTGTTCTAATTTAAAAATTAGTATAAGTAAATAAGAAAAGATTGTGCCTATTTATTTTTAATATTATTCAACTGCTATTGTTACAATATGTCAGGAACCTTGCATTCAATTTTCACGCTATTTTACCCAAAAAATAAAATTTTATTGATATTTATAGAAAAAAAAAACTAAGGATATTGAAAACTGACAATGTCCGTGAACAGCTCAAAAAGAGTCAAAACATTTTTAAATTTTTAAAAATTTTATTTTTGAGGGTTACATCAGTTGACCTATTAACCGATATTAATAAAATCATAAAAGAAAAAATATAACTTTTTGCATTGTGATGCTGTCCGTCATGTGCTGCGCTCTATATAGGTATCGCCGCCGCCACGAGCTCGACTTCAATAATATTATTATTATTATTGTTGTAATGTTGTTATTGGGAAAATTTAATGCAAGGTTCCTGATATAAAAATATATTTTTTAAGTTCTTAGAACAGTATAATTGATATTTTATTCTATCTTATTTGTTTTCCTTAATTGTGTTTGTCTATATTGTATTGTCTTCAAAATAAATATACAGTGAAACCTCTCTTTAACGGACAACTCTCAATAGCGGATACTTCCAAATAATGGATAAAATTTCGGTGATTGAGAGTGTCCAGTATTTAGAGGTTTCATTGTACATTTATTAGGAGTAAAAATGTCAACTGTTATGGGTGTAGGGGTGGTTAAAAACATTACTAATTATGTAATTGTTGAATTAGGATTGAATGGTTTCTGGATATTCATAACCATAAGATAGCATAAAAAGGGCTTCAGCACTCCCAGTTTTTAATTAAAATTACCTCCCTGCTCAACACCTACTATACTGCAGAGCAACTTTCTTTGAAAGGTAAGTTAAATAATTATCTGTTAGTAAAATACCCTATATCATTTATATTTCTTTATATTTATAATATTCTGTGCTAATATTGTGATTATTTTATTATTTTCAGCCAATACCTATCTATACGGACTATATTTTGAAAAGCATTCAGTCTTCATTCACTATAGACGTACAGACATGAATTTTCCAAAACAAAATGTATATAATATAGTAGGTATATACAGTGTATAGAATTATAATGTATAAGCCTCGTCCCCAATGTTTAGATACAACATATTTATTTGTTTTGATTCTATTTTATCTTAAACAAATAAAATGATTATATTTTATATAAGAAAAAAAAACCAACAAAACAACTATCATAAATTAATACATTAAAAAAAAAAAAAAAAAACAAAAAAAACTAAAATATCAGCTTTTGAGATTAGCTGTCGAATAAAAATGTTCATTCTGCTAATAAATACTAATATCTTAAATAACCGTTTTTCTTTACCTCTGTTTTGATGATTGTATAGGAGTTGTCTTCTAAATCTTAGAATATATCTTGAACACAGTACTCCTTTAACTCTGTTTTATTGATTATTTTGGATTTTTCATCTAGTTGTGTATCTATGTTTATGGCTGAGATATTTTCTTAATTTGTGTCAATATTAATTATACTGGCGCTTTTCACCTGATTATCCTCAATTTGTATTCCAGTTTTTTTCTTTTAAATTGTTTCTTATAATCTTATTGTTTTGAACTTTTGGCAACATAATATTTTAGGTTAGAAATCGAATGTGTTTTTTTTAATAATTTGCCTTGCATATTTTGTAAGATAAAGTTATTATTTCTTTGGATTTTACAAATAGTATATGGACCAGTGCTTATGACCACCATCCTTTCCGATCGTCTCTCACACAATTTCTCGAAAGAACTAAATCACCTACTTTAACCGTTGATTTTGTTGAATGTCTTTTTTTAAATGATTTTCTTTGTTTTTCTTTACCTTTTAATATATTGTGTGCAGCTTGGATAAAAACAGTACTTCGAACATGTAAAATTTGTTGCAATCTTTTTTCCAAAGTTACTTCGTCCAAAAGTACAAAAAAATGTTCGCGTGTTTTGGGTGATTTAACCATGAACGTAACCTAACCATGTACCATATGGCATACCTATTCACATAGGTTATACCGTATACGAGATTGATTTTTTTGTATACAATACAGTTATTACTTACAAGATAGTCTTTTCGTGATTGTGTGTACCGTGTACGTACTATATCCATATTAGGGAGTCTATACCTACCCAATCATTACTAATATTATTACTTATTATTATATTTTTATTCATTCATAGAATTACGGTGATAACTTGGTCCGCCGGTGTAAATAATACCCGTAGTAGAGTGGGAGTTCATCGTGTTTACTATTGACCTAATTCAATAAATAACCGGGACACTGATTCATTTTTATTTTTTAAATTAATTTAGTTTAGTCGTGGATCATTTACATTAACAACATAACAATTATTTTATTATTTTATTGGATTTCGTCATTGATTAAAGTATAATATACAAATATAAGTACCTACAGTAAATAAGTTTATTACAAACATTTATTTAAAAAATTGTAATCCATTTAATGATTTATTGAATTATTATGTTATTTGTTAGCTTTAAAAAAGGTAGAAAGGTATAATTATTAATTTTATTTAAAAAAAAATGTAACTTATTTTTAACTAAGTCAAGTTACTTTTATTTTCTAATTAACTTGTAAGTTTTAGCAAGTTAAAAAAAAAATAAAGTTAACTTTTAACTTTAAACTTAACTTACATTTTTCCATATTAACTTAACTTAACGAGTTAAAAAAAAAATAGTTAACTTGCAGAGCCTTGCCATAATCCTGATTTGTATTTTATATGTAAAACAATCCTACTTTCCAAAATGTATTTTTTGTTCAACATTTATTCTTAAACAGATTTTAAATTAAACAATAATTAATACAACATTTCTAATAATATTATAATTATTTTACTTTGTTATAAAATAATTGTTCTGTTATAAATAATAAATAAGGTATATGATTTTTTATTTTTTAATCATACGTAATCATAAAATTGTAATATAAAATAACTTTTCTGTTCTGAATAATAAAACAAAATAAAATATATAATTGTTTACTTGTATTCATACATAATTGTAACTTCAATATCATTAATGAGCAAAAATACAAAGATCTTAAATATTTTATTAATAAAGAGCAGTATCATATTAATATATTCATTATTTAAAAAATTATATTCAATTTAATTGATGTAAATAGAAAATTGGGTTGTTGGGTTTTAAAAAGATTTTAAAATGTTAAAACAAATCGTTAATAATTTTTAAATTCTGAGCGGAGCGATGAGTGTATTGATTGTACAATAGTGATGTGTGTTTTTTAATTTTAATTTTTTATTTTAAATTTAATTTTTAATATTGTCTATCGTAACCTACTGTACAGCAGAGTGACACCCAGTTGCCTACTTTTTTTATGAAATACCTTGAATACAATTTTTTCATTTGTTGGTTGTGGTAATAATGTGGTGGATTGGGCCTAAGACGAAAAATATTTATTTTAAAAATGACCATAAAGAATCTAATGTTAAGATAGTAGTATATTACATAATATTAATAATATAGGTACAATATACTATATTGGAACAATAGGATAATGTGTAATCGTACTATACAATATACATAATAAAGCATAACGCCAAACAAATGTGGACATATTTTAAGGAGGTTTGAACATTATTTGAATAGCCTAATGACTAATCGTAAACAGCACAAAGACCCGAACCCATACCTAATTAGCCGAGTGCAGTAGGTATCTATGTAGTTTCTAAAGACAATATCACGAGGTCACAACAAGCCCGTTGCACTAACTAGACTTGTCATCTAAATTATTGTATTCTTTTGCAGGTCAAATTGTTGAGTATACCTGCGCAGTGGCGTAGAAAGACTCGTTAGCGCCCCTGGCAAACCTAGAAAAATGCGCCTTTTTAGCGATTAAAAAATTGACGAAAATACGGAATGATATTTTTTAACATTTATTTTTTATAATATATATAATTAGGTAATACAATATTATTTAACTATCAGTTATTATGATAATGTAAATTTAAAAATTTAAAAATTTTCTTTTCTTGCTTTAAGGCTAGAAAATTCATTGATGATTTCGTCATATGAAATTTGTTTAGCAAATTCATGTTCTATTGATAAAATTGCCATGCTTGTTAGTCTCTCTTGTCCAATAGTTGATCTTAAGTAATTTTTAATATAATATTAATATATTTATATTTATTTTTAATATATTTATAATA